ATATAAAAATATATAAAATTATACATAAAATTATATATATAAAATATAAAATTATATATATCTAATATAAAATATATATTTATTAGTTTTTTTTGCATTTTTTTGTATTTATATCACAAATTATATTTCAAATTATATTTAATAATAGTAAAATAATTATTTTTAATAATAGTTGCAAATATATTGCGTTGCAACATTGCAACGACATTACAGCCCAATCTTGCTGAAGGCGAATATTTTTATGATGCTATGACAATATTGCTACAATGGTCTAGTTTCCATCGAGGGTTTGAACCGGATCAGAATGTAAGAATCAACCAATTACAGTCGAACATTCTCCTGTCGTTTGACTGTAACAGGGAAATACTCGATTGTAGTTGGTTGCTTCTTACATTCTGATCCGGTTTAAATCCTCGGTGGAAACTAGGCCAATGTTGCAAATACATTGCCCAATCTATTTGCATATTTGCAATCTATTTGCAATATTATAACATTGCAATGAGATATATATCTGCAATTATTTTGCAATCTTTCTGTGCTGTATAGGAAGCAAAAAGTAAATGACTTTGCTTCATGTCACATCATAAGAGGGTTTACAGCGCGTGAAAAACGAAAATAAACGATTAAAAATAGCGCTTATAAGCGTGAGTGCTTAAAGTGCGTGAGCATAAAAAATTAACGCACCCGTAAAGTGTGTCTTTAGTGTGTGTTGAGTGATATATTATCTGCGCTTGCCAATGGCTATGTTTAACAGAGAAATCTAATCAGTTAACGCTTAGTGCAGTTGTTATCTTTAATGATTGGTTCTTATTAAAAATTTTAGTTCTTCGCTGAATCTAATTGGTTCCAATTAAAAATTACTAAGCGCTGATTTTATATATATATATATATATATATGTATATATATATATAGCTTTTTGCACTGAACGCAGCCTTATATCGTTACTTATTCTCTTCATATAACGTAGTGTGCCGTGATTGTGTGTAAAATGTAAAATGGCATCTCTGCGCAACCGAAATATTCTATAAAAAAGCTACTTCTTCTTTCCGATAATGACCGTGTGATTTGCTCGTATTCTATTTATCGTTTTCACTTTCTGCGGGCTGAATCTGCAAGAGGAGTCGTATCCGCTAAAACAAAATTATATCACAACATTTTTATAACGTTGCGTTATAATCATGCGATGTTTTGCGTTTTATCGTATAAAGGATCTTTGACATAGAAGTCGTAGACAATTTTAATATTCTCTTTATATTTGATTGAGATTGGTCGGTTTCCTACGACTTAAGACTCCACGGAGTGGACTTCTATGTAGAGGACCCTATAGACTCCACGTTCTAAAGTCACTAAATTAACAATGTACCGCGAACTGCCGTCATTTTGGTTCCATGACGCGCGGTTATTCAAAACTTCAGCCTCTTTCGCTGCGGTTTTTGCAATTTTTAACACAGCAACCGAGCATTTTCGATAATAAGAGAATCAAGTTCTTCTTCTTCCAGATTCCTGTATGAATTTCTGACCTTTTAACAGAATCAGAAAAGCACTTCGACCATTTTGACTCCAAATGCTAATTCAGTGAATTTTCTCATCGCAATACTTCGTTAATCTAGTGACTTTGCACATTCACCAACGGTCCCTCGCTGCGCGGATGACGCATGCGTCGCGATAAAAAAATCCCCACGGTTGAAAAGTCCCTAGCATGTCAGATCGGCGCGCGCGCGCATGCGTAGGTTACACACTCATCATCATCGGCTACGT